GGCAACCTTGCAATGTTGTCAGGGTGAAACTTTGGCCACATAACATGGAGGCCGGTACTTGACGATGCCCGATGGCAATGTTTTCTTCGTTTTGCAGCAAAGATTTTACAATCTACGGAAGGTTTTAGGTGGTTTGGAAAGGAAAGGGGTATGTGAAATGGTCTTTATGGTAATAAGTCCGGACTCGGTTCTTGACTTTTAGGTTTTTTTGGACTTGAACCTAAACATTCTTACAAGTCCGGATCCAAGTCCAGTGAACCGGTATGCATCACTAGGACCAGTTTGGGTCTTGTGAAATGGAGAGACAAATGCATTTGACACAGGAGACCCAGATCTATAAAAATTATATATATCAATAACTTTGATGCATTTGCTTATCAGCCATAAGTTAGGTAACAGATATTAAGTTTTCTTGGTAGAGAAGTGTTACATGCAAGGATGTACACTTGTTTGACTAAATATTGAAATATTGGAAAGTATTAGAAATAAGATTAATTTTCATAATCCAGCATATTTTCCAATAGAACATAGTCAGTTATCGTAGTTGTACAACTTGAACCTATGTCACAACTGTTCCCAGATTTGTGAAAGCTGTCAGTCACCAACCCAAATCATTAGTAGATTAACACTCATCAACAGAGAGCAAAGATGTAAACATTGTAACTTGTTGAAAGATTGCTAGTTGGTTTGTATTCTTAGAAAGGAAGGAGTGTCTGTGCCTCATTCAATCTGTCAACCACCTTACAGAGATGTACCAAGATGGGGATTATCTGAAAATACGGGATTACCAACTCAAGGGAGGAGTTTATCTACCAGGCTTTATATCCCAGTAGATGTGAATTAAGGTCAGGCTCTGGTGACCTGAAGTCCCACAAGACATGATTACTGAACAAAAACATGGTTAAAAAAGACATTCACTTTTGGAATAAGGATTCCCAGAGAAAATTGATCAGTTACACTACCAGTATAGTGGGAACTTTACGTTAAGGGCAAATATAGATATGGTTGGTATATAGAGTGCTACTGTGTACATTTACATTTCAGTAGGTTGCAGCCAACTTGAAAATTGGATTTTAAATTGCTGCTGTTCCTTTCAAACAGTCATTGTGTTAATTTTCATTCTACAGGTGTATTTTATATTACATCTGTAGTCAAGTGCAGAGGTATTTGTGCCATTAATTACAAATTGCCCAGCAGATGAAGCTGTTCACTCTCATGAAAAATAAATGCCCAATCATCCCCGCAACAGAGACCTACTTTTGAATCCAATGTGAATCAAATTCGAAAACATTACTGTTACTCAATCAAGAATATTTATTTATTAAGCCTTTAAAAATTGGCAATTTATGTAATAGCCATTACTGCTGTGTAGTATAGTAGGCATACATGTAATAAGTTCTTATCTTTAGATTATATATTGATCTAACAACTGATTGTTTGTTGTTGCCTCTCCAGTTGCAAGTGAACCTGCAGTCGGCCATGCCGCAGCCAGACATGAACAACGCCAACGACTCTGCAGACGACATCGACGCGGCCCTTACTGATCTACAGGTGTCTCTGGAGGGGAGCGCAAAGAACTCTGCAGCCGTAAGTTCAAGAAACTTTGAAACCTCAAAAATTTCGATTTACCATTAGAAGGGCCCACCTCTAGTCTTCCTGGTATTCACAAGTACAGTATATACAGTACTCGACATAGTTACTACACAATGCCATTAACAAGTTCTTTGTCTGAGGATGAAATATGGCTGATGAAATATTTTGTGTTTCATTTGATCTCTCATTTGGAATACAGACTTTCCATATAGTTACGAAGGATGTTGTATGAATGACGTATGAGCCGTTTCTATAGGGAGAAGATACCTCATCACTGAAAAGAAATTAAGACTAGCTGTAAATGCATGTATCAAGTCTTCACAGTTTGCTATTTTAGTCTGAAATATGGTTGGTGAAATATTGTATATTTCACTTGTTAGCTCCTTTTGTAGAAGAATGATTGAATGTCAGATAGGAGCAATTTTAGTTAACAATCACTCTGAAAAGAGATAAATTGGAAGATGTAAAGACAGTTTGCTATCTTAGATTGAAATATTTTTGATATCATACCATGAATTTCCCTGGGTAGCTCATTTGGAAGCAGATTCGACAGTTATGAAGGATGATGTTTGAATGATGTATGAGCCATTTTAGTAAGGAGGTCACTCTGAAGAGAAAAGAGATCAATTATTGTTATACGTACATCAGGTCATACTGAAACCATCTGGTATTGTTCAATATATTTATACTTATGAATGTCAGATGAACTGTGTGTGAGGACCGATCCATTAGGAACATAAAGACCTGCCCTCTCATCCTGTCATGTTTTAGGTAATGATGATAGATTTTTGCCATATAATAGAAGTATCCGCACCTCCCATATTTAATTATAGAGGTTAGTCTTGCATGATGAGTCCCGTAGGAAAGACAGCATCCCTATTGATATCACATCATTTCCTGTTGTTTCCTTCTCCAGGGGGACATCACCCAGATACCAGAACTAGCAGACTGGCTCAGGTTCTTCAAGTAAGTCAACCAACTTCTGTCCGAGAAGTTATATCCTTATGAAGGATGTAATGTTACAACAATTCTTGCCTATTCTGCTTGTTTGAATTTTTTGCTATCTTTTACTTCCATCGTTCCAGCATAAAAATTACATCTTAACATCTGAAGCAATCTATAATATCTGATTCATACAGCAGGCAGAAAATAAAGAGGTCCTTAGAAACTCCCACTGTTCTGTACCCTTCCTTCGTGTTAACTTATATCCGTGACAAATAGAGCTGGAATTTCCTATATACAAGTACCTGGGACTCTTTGGAGATTACAGAGTATTGGATCTAATGATGTGATTAGTACTCATTACCAAAATCTTTGTCCAACATAACAATTCAGCATCCTAGCTGACATGTATTGTTGCCCTTGAGCAGAGAACGGCTGCTGCAACTTAACCAACCCTTGATTGCAGCATTAAATCTTGTACAGTATAGTAAAGTAGTCAGTGGACCATACCAGCACTGATCTTGAGATTTCTGGAAACAATTTCCCCTCCTCCTGACCCTGTTTTTCTGAGCTAGTAACCCTGTGCACTACTGACCTTCCTGCCTTCTGTCTTCCTCCTGTTTCACCTGTTAAGTGTGACAGTTGAAAAGTTTGGTGTCTTCCTTTCTGCCATGTTGAGGTTTGCCCTTTCGGCAGTTTGTGTTTCTTGCACTTGATTGTGATTGTTTACATTCTTGCTTGGTACAGATCTGTAGTGCTGTGCTGTGGGGTCCTGTCTAGACCTGTTAGGGTTTTGTCAAGTGTTTGTTCAGCCTCTGTATCCAAATTTGACAGTGAAAACACCGATACCCATTTGATATTGTGATAATGGGCTTTTGGTTTTTAGTAGAACTGACAAGAGTTCTGTCTACTGTAAGTTTTGATAAGAGACCCTCCAGAAGCTGGGGACAGCACTGTTTACATTGTCGGAGTGGATCTGTGTATACTATCTGTCTGGGGAGATCCAAACAAAACCTGTTTCCAAAAGTCTTCTTCCATTTCCAGCCTAGCGGCTTCTTTTTGCCTGAAGAGGCAGCTCATTTTCTTGCATACATTACTGTATCTTGTGTAGAATAAGTACCTACATTCACCATGGCATGAAATACCCACCTGCAATGTGCTATTTGCTGACAAGGACTGTTATTGTTGATAAAGATGTGTGATGTGAAGAGCAGCCAAGTGCTGCCCACATATGTCAGGTATCCTGCGCAGCAGTGTAATCAAATATCTAATATTACTACCACTATTTGGAAGCTTTTTCTGAAATAGGGGGCCACACACATCCCTACTGCTGTAGCAGTTAGTCATTGTGTTGTAGTCATGATTACTGAGCTGTGGCATGTTTTTCTTTGTGTAGGCCAAAGAAGTTCACGCTGAAATCCTACAAGCGTTACTGGTTCACCTTCAAGGACACCCACCTGGCCTATTACCACAGCCCGGAGGAGGCCAGCGGAGCCCCTATCATGAGGGTCAACCTCCGAGGTGAGTACTACAACAGATGGGGGGATGACGCCTCAGTACTCTCCAAGCAGAGGTTTGGGTTTTGGCTTATTATTGGCGTGTTTTTAGCCTTTTCTATCGGGCTTTCTTTTTTGCATTGGTATCTTTTTTATGGTCGTCGCAGAAATAAGATACCAGTGCAAAAAAGAAAACCTGATTAAAAAAAGCCTAAAAACATGCCAAAAATAAGCCCAAACCAATCCCCTCTGCTTGGAGAGTACTCCCTCAGCCTTTCACACAAGCCAAGGAGTATCCAGCCATTCCTTTTTAATTGGGTTATAACAAGAACTTTTTTTTTAGAAAGACACAAAAAAGGCTTGTCAAGCTACCCATAACAGAAATATACAGCCATCCAAGTACATGTAAGCATACTGACATGAAGAGACATTTGAATTTGTCATGTACATTATTCATATCACTTGATGACAGCAATAGTGGGCTTTTCTTGCTTTGCCAAAAGAAACCTTTAGCAAACCACTCTGCTTACATTTTCAGAGTCGGTGTGGAATGGTCCAACCAAATATTGTAGTACAATAGTGATAAATCCCTGGATCATGTACAATGAAATCCTTTTAGCACCAGAAAGCTTTGGTTGTCACAGTTCAACACAGTTCATCACAGCTTGACAGGTTTTTGTGTTCTCATAAGCTTTTAAGTAGACAAGGGTAATAAAACAACGGTTTGTGTTTCTGACAGGATGTGAGGTGACTCCCGATGTGAACATCTCGTCGGAGAAGTACTGCATCAAGCTCCTCATCCCGTCCACAGAGGGGATGAACGAGGTCTGGATCAGGGCAGACTCGGTAAGGACGCAACACTGTAATTCACTTCATGTTCATGGTAGCAAAATTTCACAATCTGGAGGTGTTCACGGAACTATATGTTCACGGTGGTGGCAGGTGCAGGTTGATTTGTATGCAGTAATGATGGTTCACAGTACAGAAGTGATCGTGAAAACAGTGAACATAAAAGTAAGATGAAAAAATCTGGAATTTCAGCACTCAGCATTTGGGTACTACTACTGATTGATGAGTAAATGATACTGTCTTGTAAAGACCATGTAAATACAGTATGTGAGAACACTTCATCTATGGGAATACATACAATGTAACTTACAGGTTCTATTTACCCTCTATCTATCCATTACCCACTTGCCCATTGACAAACCCACACAACTACATGTGCAGCCATCTAACTTTTTTTTACATCAGCTATCCCTCTGCCCAATGTTTCTGTACTAAGGTGAACTTGTTGTATTTTAAGTGCCAATTTAAAGGTTGTAGGTTTGCTTTAAAGCAACAGTGATGATTCAGGAGGGATGTTCGGGTCTGTGTTTCCCATCGTAACGTCTAGCCTTTGCTCTTTACCTTGGCAGTGCGTGGGGAAACGTGAGACCTGCTGCTGATGGTTATTTACAGCCTAGGGGGTGCCCAGTCCTTGTTAGCTGGCATGTGGGAGGATTGCAGTAATGAAAACTTGGATTACTCAGCGGCCCCTGCCCCTACAGCTGGCTGTGTCAGTGGTAAATCCAGGCCTGGTTGCCTGCTATGGGAGACTGGCATGTCTGGGGGGTGATTCTGATCGCTGTATATCCACCCTCATCAGCAGTAGAAGCAGCATTACGATGATGCAGAGTTTGGCACAGCACCAGATCGCTTGTCTCTTTAACAATTTAGACCAATTTGTCATCATCCATCATGACCCGGTCCCATCTAGATTAAACGTTGAATAATTTGGTGCCACAAAGACCCATCAGTTGGAGAAGACAATAGGAAATGTCAGCGTGTGGGCAGGGCAGGCCTGCCGAGGCCTTTGTGTAGTCTGATTACAAAGATTAATGGAGCCGACGCCAAGTTAAAAGTACAGGCAGGGCCAGGGGTGATGCTGCGGAGCAGAAAATAATACAGTGTATTTGGGGGGACCCCACGCTGTGGCATCACAGGGCTCTTCCTGTTGAATGGGCGTCTTGACAGTAATCTACAGATGGAAGTTGCATTCTGTCCCGTTCCCTTGTTTCCTCACATCAACGGTGCTTTGTTGTCTGGTGGGGTGACAGACAAGACTTGGCCCTGAACTTGAGGTATCTGTGGAGTGAGGGTTGACAGGACAGGAATGTGAGGAAAGCTTGACGTGAATCTTAAGGACATGTCAGCGCCCAAAATCAGCTTTGACGTCCGGCTGTGTAACTGGTGACAGTGGCAGGCAGGCTGGATATCTATCTTTGCTATTATCAATGATGCTTGTGCATATATACACATGTTGGATACTGCTGAAATATGAGAATCATGCTTTCAATGCACCAAACAACTCAAGACAGCAGTCCTGCAGATGGGTAAATTTGAGAGAAAGAAAGTCATAATCGTTACATCATCCTTTTGTGAACAAACAGAATGTTTATGAATAATTCAGCTGCATTAGACTTGGTGTCCCTTTACCTTGCAAATATTCAAAGTTAGCTGTATGATGTACTGCTAAGGATTTTGGGGTTGAAAAGATAGTACTGAATTTCTTTGCTGATGTTATAGACAATAGTTAGCCATTTCCTAACAATAACCAAATGAAATTGTCTCTACCACTGATTATAATTTCTTCACCCTTCCCTCCCTCCAGGAAACCCAGTATGCCCGCTGGATGGCGGCCTGCAGGCTGGCAGCAAAGGGAAAGACGATGGCAGACGCCACCTACGAGTCGGAAGTCCAGAGCATCACCAACTTCCTGGGCCTGCAGCACCCCAAGGAGCCGGTTCCCAGCGTCAACATCAGCAACATCAACATAGAGCCACAGGACTTTGTTTCACAAAGACATGTCAAGAAGTTCAAGGCAAAGTCGGTTAGTTAGATTTTACTAACTGCTTTTCGCCGTAACATACCAACCTTCCCACACCGTGCAGACAGATGTCAGGTGGTCAGGAGGCATCAAGCAGATGAAGCACACATGCACTTGTGTAGGTGTGTACATGTGGTGTTTGGGTAGCAATGGCAGGAAGTACAGGCAAATCTGTCTATAGTAACTACTTCAGAGACTTGAAGAAAATGGCCTCAGTAGACTGGTGGTCACTTTTGAAAGGATTCTTGATAATGCTTGTATCAATGGGAAAAATAATCTAAGAAATTATCAAAAAGTGAGCCTATGGCCAGCTTTTCTTTAAGCAAAGATGGTCATAGGTTTGACTGTAGACAGGCAAACGAGTTTGTAAAATATCAGTCTGGAGTGATTGGGGCATTGTCGTTAGGGCCAATGAAAACTCAAGATGCAAAGAACCAAAATGTCTTATATTGTAGCAGTTTCGTTGAAGACGTCTTCGCGTGTTGATCACTTCAACAGGCACAAGTTTCTACCCACTGTCTCCAGACATGTGTAGACATACATGTCTGTTAAAATCTTCTAACTCAATTTCAAAGGTGAAGGTGTAGCTGCATGTGGCCAGATTGGTGGGAACTTTTCCAGGAGTCTGTAACTCAAACTGATTGAAGTGAGTCTCCCGTGGTTAGGATGATTGTTCACCACAGGTCAGGTCCCCCATTCCCAATAAAACATACGGTCTTCAACAGATCACACTTGGATCAAAGTAGAGTGAAAAGTTCAGTTAAAAGATTGAACAGTGTAACATTAGATCAACCCGCATCTTTTAAATCAAGAGTAGAGTTTGAAGATCTACAATGTACATTTTGTAAACACTTGTGATAACTCCCTTCTTTCCAAGAAGAAATCCAAGAAAGCAAGCTCTGTGACTTGTTCTTGTGATTTGATATTTTGCAGGGACTTTTTGATGTATGACTTAATAGGGGATCATGCAAGCATAGCATATGTACTAGTTTTTACCAAAGCACCACTGTTACACCCCTCCACAAGTGCAATGTTGAAAGGGGAAAGGTAAAAGTCTCCTTTGGCACAAGTGGTGAAAATGTCTGTCTGTCAGAAATATTGCACTCAAGGGCAAGGGTCAAACTTCTTGACTGACAGAAGGTTCCACTTGTAGAAAGGTGAACCATCCATCATAGATGTGACACCCTAACTGCTTCTTGCCATAACATGAACTATAGGTTCAGAGCTTGTGCATGTAGTTAGCTAGCTAGTGGATCACTCACATGCACAGAGCTTTGAAGACTGCTACTTGTGTATGCAGTGTGGAAAATAGGGCACTACATATTTTTGTGTATTTGTATGCTATAGACTAGTTCTTTCGCATTGTGTTGTCTACATGTAATCTCATTTTGCATGTAGCTAAACTATTACATGTATGAAATGCCTCTCTTGAGGAAATTGAGCAGAAAAGGTAGTTAAGATAAAAAGCAAAGGCTGGGTTGCTGTGCTTGCCAAATTTGTTAGTTGAGCCAGCTGGAAGTGCTCCACAGTTAAGAAGTCTGAAGGGCACAGTAGGTTCTCATGAACTCTAACTCTCCCAGTTGACTCCAGCATGGCCTTGTGGGATGTGTCCTGCAGACCAAGGCTATTGTTGACAGTCTATATCATCACACATGACAATAGCTGATGTGAGCTCATGAAACAAAAGGATATTTTGGGTTAGCTGCATGGGAAACAACAGGGATTCTCAAAAACTGTCAGCAACATTTATTACCTTGGGTCTGCATGATTGCAGTTATTAGTTATCACTGCTCAGTTTCCTCTCAATAGCATGTCTTGGATGCAAGTAGTAGGATCTCAAGAAGAATGGCTTTCCTTGACCTTGCCTGAAACGATATTTGTGTGACCTTCAAGTAGCATTGACTGTTGCATTACATGAAAACTTGCAAGTAGATCAATTGTCACCTCTTACTGACAAATGCCATGCATTGTAGTATTTGTATGGTTTTGCAAAAATCCATCCTAACGGGCACTAGTAAAAAGGCTACAAAGTAGCTGCAGAAATGTGACTGTGTGTCTTTCTGTGTTCCCTACAGCTGACTGCCCGTATCCTGGAGGCACATGCCAACGTGGCCAACCTGGCCCTGATGGAGGCTAAGCTGAACTACATCAGGGCGTGGCAGGCCCTGCCTGAATTTGGCATCACGCACTTCGTAGTCAGGTTCAGGGGCAACAAGAAGGAGGTGAGCTTCCCACGTTTTCGTACCTAATGTTGGCAACATTTAGCGCCAGCTGTGTTAAGCCTTCTGTTGACTTTGAACCCAGAGTTGAGTGCTGAGAAACCTACAGTACATGCTGTTAATTCATTAATGTGGACACAACTATATGTAAGAACTGCAGTGATATTTCACTTGACATATAGGTCAACAAGTACTTGTGTTTCCCAATGATGCAGTAAGTACTGAGTAACTGTTGATTGTGTCTCATTTGCCTTTGGCTGCGTCTTTAATTAGGTTTCAATCAGTTCTAGTTTGTCTCTTTTCAAGACAGATAGAATAGTAATTTATCTAACAGCAAATGCTGGCAACATGTATGTGCATGGATCTGACAGAACTCATTTCTCTCCAGAAGCTTGAGTCAGCAGGAGGTTTTGAATGTTGCATTCTTTCAGTCATCCATAATTTAATGCCTGAATGTGATATCCCACAATGTTCAAAGCATACAAAGCAACCTTTTAAAGTTTACAGCAGCCCAGCTTATGAAATACATTGTGTTCCACCTCGACCAGCATGTGAGCGATACCTTTACAGGTTAGCTTAAGGCTTGCCTTCTAAAATAGATGAAATATTGATGGGCAACCGAACTTTTGACTAAGAAAAAAAGGATTTCGAACCTTGTCCCATGTAGCTTTATTTACAAATGGACGTCTTTCCCTTCAGGACCTGCTTGGCGTCGCCTTCAACCGCATCATGCGCATGGACCTGCACACGGGCGACGCGCTCAAGACGTGGCGCTACAACTCCATGAAGCACTGGAACGTCAACTGGGAGGTGAAGGAGGTCCTGGTGCAGTTCGAGGACGAGCAGGTCTCCTTCGCCTGCCTGAGCGCCGACTGCAAGATCGTCCACGAGTTCATCGGAGGCTACATCTTCAACTCCATGCGCTCCAAGGACCAGAACCAGACCCTGAATGAGGAGCTATTTCACAAGCTGACAGGCGGATGGGAAACAATTTAACATTAGTTTTTCCTATATTGTTATTAATCTTCAGATAGAATGTAGACAGTATGAACGTATGAATCATACACATTTGTACAGGATCATTATTGAGATGTAGAAATGATTGATTGATTAATTGATTAATTAATTAAACGAGCTATGAAATGGTAGTGGGTTCTGCTGGCCTGTTCCTACAGGTATTACAAGTTAACCAGTAACTAATCTGTTGACCAGGACATTTTCACAACGCATGCCAAATATCACTTGTTTGGATATATAGATTAAGAGTTGACAGCAGTGGTGTATTGTGATCAGATTTTCAAGTGTGCAAAACATCAATGAATTCTGTTCTTACCCTGAATGTATGGAACCAAAATGCCATGAAACGTTTACCCATAGCACACTATATTTTAGCCAGTACATATGCAGGCTACTGATCCCTTTAAGATTGTTGTAGTAGAGGGTGGGACGAATTAGCACCTTTGTAAAAAGACAGCGACCTATAAAGCATTGCTAGTTACTATAAAGCAGTGTTTGACAATGTCACTGCACTTGTTCAAAAATGTATCAAAGGTGGGGTGTTTTGTCCACACAAGGGGTAGGAGAAAATATACTAACCTGTATAACAATGTGAATAGTAGTTATATGCCCCCACCCTGAGCCATAGCTTCAGTCCTCAAATACTAAACCTCAGGAATGCTATGTATTATGGAGAGCTACAGCTTTTTGTTTTTTCATTTAAAAGAAAATGAATAGCACGTATATAGGAGCAGATATTGCGGTGGAGGGGGCTGATAAGTTAACCCTTGAAATAGGGTCCATGTTACTAATGTAGGTGACATAGGTTCATGTTTTCAAATTGGGTGTTTCTGTTGTTTTTATATGAGTAGCATAGCCTTTTATGATGCTGTTTGAATGATGCTTAGTAATTCAAATATTTAATGATCAAGCATGTATTTACAGTACCTCTACCTGTATTTTATTTAATATTTGATGGTTGTGTGGAAGAAAAATACACAAAAATATGTGAGGACAAAATGGGTTGCTGTATTCCACAGTGTGCTTGATACTAGAGTTTATAAAATTTGAATTATCTAATTCTATCCCTTGCCATGTGTAATCCTTGTTAATTCACTATCTTAACCCAGTAGGGGTACTCTGTATGATATAGGGTAAATCATTTTGTCAGAACAATGTACTAATCAAAGAATATCCTAAGGCATTGTAAGTAGTGATATCATATATCACCTTTACTGTATAGTACAGCACAGAAACACATCTACCAGCGGGAGGTAAATATCAGCACTGTGGAATACTGGCAAGGTTTCTAGAAGTCTTGCAATATCCTAGATTAGACTTGGGGTGGGTAAACACATGGCTCTTGACATACATAAAACATTGTCAATGATACACTAGAAATGGAGAGCCTTCTTGCTTTCGTCTGAGTTTCTGAACTTATTCACATACATGTAAAAGTTACTAAGATGGAGAAACCTGTATGACACTGTGTACAGTGTTAGTTCACCTTAAGGATCGAATCTTGGGTGTATACTTTGACAAGATATGTGGACGTAAAGGCCTTAAGTAAAGGCAGCCACTGTAATATTTGATCTACCATTGAGTAGACCACTGACAGGCTCAACATTGTATACATGCCGTCTTCTGTACAAAAGCTACAGTTGTCTGGTGGCCAATGAACTCTACAGCTCTGCCTGGTACAGGTTGTAAAATTATGGGATTCAGATGGACCTATTTTTATCCCATTATCATGTCATTGTCTTCCTTCCCCCAATTGTTAAAGAAGCCCAGACAGCTGGGTCATGAAATTCTACATGATGACTATAGTACTTGATTTGGGGACATGAACATGATGCCACAGCTCTGATACTTGTTGGTGGATCAGGAGGGAAATAGGATATATTTGCAGCTAAATGGTACTGGTCCAATGCCAAACTTAACTGGTATAGCTATCCAAGATTTTCTCAGAAGTTGGGTTTCTTGGGCCCCTTCTATATAACAACTGCATCAGTGTCTACAACGCATTGACTCTACTCTCATAGAACTCCGAGAAGGTACTCAACACATGTACCATTTATTGCTACAGTTTGAGCAGTGAGCATCTTGATGCTCAAGATGTCTTCCCATAATTGACAAAATTTGTAGTATTCACCACAGTACAGAAGCTTGGACTATGGCATTTCCATGAAATGCCCTTGACTGAGCTTCTAGTGACTACATGACACATCTGCCATGATGTTCCCCCATAGCTACTGCCCTACCATCACGTCTGTGTGTATCACAAGTTAGCAAACATGTAGATAAGTGTGCACCCTGCAGCCTTGTCTGACTGTTCAATGCTGGAAGCCAAATAAATTTTGCCACTAAAGAGAATGTCAACAGTCTGATGTTATTTTTTGTCCAATTTCGATAATTTCCTGGTGCTACTATCTTGAAAGTTCTGTGTTGGTAGTTACATGTTTAAAGTTAAAACTTTTGATCCAACACAAAGAAGCTAGAGCTTTCAACCAGTCACTCTAGTGCATGTTAATAAGATAGCATAAAGAAAAAGACGCCTTACGGTGTAACACATCAGTTTGGTACATTTATAAGTACATGTACTTATCTGTCTGATCGTATCCACCATTGGAAAGGCGACCTACAAATGTAGCCAACCAAAGAATTTTTCATCCAACACTGTAGAAATATTTTTTCAAGTATTTTTATTGATAACATAATATACTGACGATATTACATGTGTGTATCTTTGCTACACTACACACTTTCCAGCAGTGATTGTAAATCATCTATAACAAAAAATGGGAGAAATCAATGAAGGGCAACCTAGTGCCTTCTATAGTCCCATCTCTACTTCGGCAGTGCATGATGACTGGGAGATGAAATTGATACACATTTTAGCAACAGCCACTTACATGCTTCCATTTGGCATTATTGTTAGATTCTTAAAACTATCAGATTATATACAAACTAATGTTTCATTTACATCGCTACCTCAAGATAGTTTGACTGCAGCTTAAGTAACATTCACATAATGTTCTGTGCACATCCTTTCCAAAATTGCAATTTTCATTTCAATTTTCAAATTACTCATCATAGTAGCTAAGGAGAGCAAAGTTAAAGGTTGTTTTGAATTCTTCAAGAAATTGTCCAATGATGTACTTTACATTCACTGGAACATCCCATCTACAGGTACATGTATGAATGGAAGCTACGGACATTAAAGAAAATCCTGGTCCCTCTTACGTCTGTTCTGGTAGATGAAAGTAAATTTGATTGCACTGCAGGTTTGAAAGATTTTTTTGTTGCCTTTTTTTGGTCACATGTCGTGAAAGAGTGCTGTGTAGAACTCTGGTTCCGACATCTGGCAGCGGTACTTGGTGACAACCTCCTGTATCTTAATCTTCCTGCGGATGTGAGGAGGCTGGTACCTGGGGCGGGAAGGGCAAAGGTTGGGTTTTATACAAAATACAACTGCTGTGTAACAACAGACACACCATGAGAGAAAAAGAAACGGAAGAAAGTGATCTTGATCAAGTTTTACCTGTAGCTCACTGAAGAACTACATGTATTACTGGACCAGGTTGTGACAGAGAAGACAGATGCTATATGTACAGTATTTACATCTTCAAAGTGCTACGTAATTCTCCTGGCTCTTTTCAACAAACACAATGAACAGTGTACCAAAGCTTAAAGTCCTGTCCTAAGGACTGTGACCCTTTAAAGTAGTGTGTATACTCAATTTCATTGGATGGCTATGAGAGATTTCTTACGTATCCGCATGCAGGCGCCTCCTGTGACAAATGTTGATGGCCGTCTGTCTGACCAGCGATCCGAGGGCTCGTCTACTCACCACCATCCCATCCACCAGTGGGATGGCCTTGCTCACCCTGTCAACACGTTACAATATAGGTATGTAAGACAGAGGGAAAGATGTAGGGATGATAATATCATCCTATAGCAAGAATAACCTACATATGAGGGACACTTACGAGCCAGTGATTTTGTCAAGTTCAACCAAATTTTCCAGTTCCTTATACATTTTTATTCATTGGTTTTGCTGTTCAGCACGCACAGCTAACGTTGCCCTACTAGGCCAGTGGCTATTACAAAGGGTTAGCAATGCTCCATATTCTATCCAATACTAGGGTTTGAATTGTCAATGAGTATTTCCAGTTCCTTATAGATGGGTGTTGACTAGTTCTGCTAGTTCATTCTCGTGATGCTGAGGAATGTCATGATGATGGTTGTCACTCAAAAAGTCGGGGTAATCTCTGTGTTTTATCCAGAACTAGAATTTGAACTGTTTATGAGAAGAGTTTACCTGGATGTCTAACCTTCATCAGCTTAACTGCAAACATACATGTACTGGCCCTCAGGACTCTAATGACTAGACCAGGACTAAAAGTCCTGACCTGTGATCCACAAGGGGGGTTGGTGCAAGTTACTTTAAATTCAAATGCATTATGTCTGTATTCCATTAACCCTTTAGAACGATCAAGGACATATGGGGGGAGGAATATATATAATGTCCTTGAAATGATACACCAAGGTATGTCAATGACTCGATGGAGGTTAGATACTTACAAGTAAGTATCAAGGTAATGAGATACACAAGAAAACTGTTAATGAAGCAGCTAGATTGATTTGAATCTAGGTACTCTCAAGCTTTGGATAGGGTTGAATCTATCCAGTTGCATGAGTAACAGCTTAGAAACTACAATACATTGTATATCGCTGAAGCAGCTGGATAGATTTGAACCTAGGTACTTTCAAGCAACTGGATAGACTTGAATCTCTCCAGTCGCTTGAGCAACAGTTTCCTTGTGCTACACAGAGGGCTTGAGAGTTCATGTACCTGCCAGCAGGGCCGTGCATGTTGACCCGGAACAGTCCAGTCTTCAGGGGGTGGATGAAGATCACGAAGGCCTCCATCCCCGGCCGGCTGCCCAGGGAGCTGGTGCTGCTGGCATAGTCCATCCCCGTCGCACACTCCGACAACAGGTCCTCTGCAAAAACAACCATCACAGAGGTATATCAAACAATCATTCATCAGAAAACAAGAAGAGTTAAATTGACTGCTGAAAGATATATCTACCATACATTTTTATATCAATATGTGTACTTTTATTGGATGTAAAGCAAAGCTAAGGCCACATGTTTTTAATAAAATGTTTTACAAACATGTACATGTAGAACTTTCTACAGGTTAATGACATTAATCATACATGTATTCAGTTCTGTTTCATGTCAAGTTCTGACTAACAAGTAGTCCATCTTGCCAGACTGTTCAAAGCCTGAATAACCAGCCATCTTTGGCCAAAATACCTTGTTACCGAAATCCTTTTATCACCAAATTGGATGAAAGTGTCCTGTAGTCACTCAAATGCCACAGATCCGAAGTTGATCTATGTGGTTCCAGTGTCAAATGTCTGTCAGACACTTCTACATCCATGGTAAAGATAAAAGCATGAGGGACAGAAATATCCCAAGGCTGTGTACTTGCCCTAGTATGTGGGCAATGTAGGGGGAACTCAAGGAGACCAAAATTATATTTACAACATATCCCTATAATAAAAGTCAGCAATCAAACATTGATTTAATGGCTCAGTTTCACGTTACAACTACATTACTTCAGTTCATACGTGTTACCGGTACTCTAGCCACTTTGACTTGCTTTGGACTTCATTTGACTTCTCTTCTGTATACTATTGTATGTTTTAATAAGCCCTCAGGCATGGCTTTGCAATAAAGTTATAAATAAATATATCATTACTAGTGACCCTTGTACTGATCAGTCCCCTCATGGAGGAGTCATGATCCTAGGACAGCAGGAGTGTGTGTTACAGGAGTGTGTGTTACAGGGCTTAGGGAGAAGACATCATAACATCACATACATTGTACTCTCCATGGCAAACAGGGAGACTCCCTGTTTACATTCCTGAAATAATCATCAATTTCAACAAACATGGATCATCGATCAGTTGGCTTTGCAAAGCTTGCCAAGTGCCAACACTTGAAATGAAAACCTCTAAAAATGTAAACATTTCTCGGGCAAAAGGAGTCTAACCGAATGTGTTATGTCCGAAGTAAATTTCTACGCAGGATTCCTAGCTACTTATTTGGAAGATAATTAAGTCAACAGAAGTTCTACTTATTTCATGTTTGGACAAAATTAATAATGATTGAGTTTAGTACAGCGATGTCTGTTCTTAAGCAGTGTAAATTGTGAACCCGATATTGTTCAACAACCAAACGTATTAACATGCCTAGTCGAGGTACAGTTACACACAGGCCTGTTTGGTCAGTCCTATATTTTCACTGGGTCCTTTAAATAGTAGTTGACAACAGCATGGCCATAACAGCATGGCCATAACAGAATAGCCATAACAGTATAGCCATAACATCAATTCAAAGTTAATGCCTCGCTGCCTCAGCTGCCAGTGGTGTATGGTAAGCCATAAGCAGCTGCTGTTTTATGACTTCAAACACTTCTCATAGTTCATAACATGAAATTGGACACCAGGGTTACACAGGAAACATTTGTATGGTTCATATTCTTTCTCTTTAATGTTAGAGCGATAAAGCAGGGCCTGCATGCCTTTCTCCATGAGGCGTAATAAGCTATTTTGATTCAACGTTAATCGTAACTGGTCTGCACTAATTCAACATTAAGTGCTGTTGGTGAATTATGAGTGAAATGTAATTGGTGTCCTTAATTCTACGTAACAAGTTAGTTGTAATTCTAAATTCATCGTTAAGCATTAATGATGAATGCTTTATATATATCGCATAGTTGAATGCCACACTGCCCAAAGCATAGTGCATATTGGAATGTGTGTCAATTTGCTGTCAATGCCTTCAGGATCCCCCCATGCAGACCCTCATAAAGACATGCTTACTGTTTGACCAGATTTACGAGAGACTGTGTGTGAATGCCTGAAAGGTCAGCTGAACATGGATCATATCCACCGGTCATGTGACCACAGGAATGCACGGAACAAGCCAAAGTAAAAACATCCAGGGGTAAAATCATTTTACATTAACTGGTAACAGACTTCAATTCAACCATGCTTTGAGTAACATGTATGGGTCAGTTGGTGAATGGTACTGCACTTGGGACTTAACCTTCTGCAAACAGTCGGTTCACACATATGGCAAATTTTTATCAGATATGCCATACCTTAGCTGGACAGTGTGCAGTCCCTAAATTTTGTCTTTGAGCCATGGATTCAGTTTCCTTCATTCCATAGTTCACTTCAAAATGTTGATTCTGTAGTTCTGCTTGTAATTTGTTGCTTTGTCCTACCAAATCAGCTCTGGGCTGGGTGACCCTGCTCATGACCCAAGTTGACCATGTGTAACCCGAGCCCTGCTGTGGCAGGCAGTGCTGATGTGGTAAGGATGTGGCAAAAACATGCATGATGTGTGGTTTGCGGAAACAGGGCAATGACTAATTAACCCATATTCTCTATCAAGCCTTGTTGGAAGTAGATGTCAATGCTTTGCTCTAACATACACCACTGCCATACTCATGTGGTTATTCGTGATTCTTCATAGAAATTGTAAATTAGATTGGAAATTATCTTCACCATCAACAGAATAAACTTGACATTCTGATTGGAAGTACATACATGCATGTCTGTGGGTCTCTCACCACCTTGCAACATTCTACCAGAGCAAACGACAAATAAAAATTTGTCCTTGAAATGAGCTGTCCTGTGCACTGCCATCATATCGCCTCCTAGTCTTAAGCATTACCTTACATTTGATTTTGCCTCCTTTTGAACTTGTTTTAGTATTTAATGTAATACCGTATTTCATCACAAACAACAGTTGACACTGCACTAGTCATCAATCTCTTGAACACCTTATTTAGACCAACAAGACCTGGGATGTCAGGGTACAGATAAAACATCAGACAAAACAGAGACAGTCAAAGAAGACTAACATGTAGTCTGGGCAACCAGCCTGACATCACGATGACAAGGATTTGTTTTGTTTGTATATTTGAAATATTTGAATTTGATATTGAGCACATGCACAATGAGAGACAGCCATCTCAGGCAACATAATACATGTTGTCTCCCCACTAGTAAAGATGAAGAAGAAGATGAATTTCATGTTATCTGTGCATGTTAGTTGCATGGATTTTAATTTATGTATTTATAGTGAAATGTATTATGTTTTACAGAAATAAACCCACATTTCAAGACTTACCAAGAGGAAAGTCTTCGATGTCATCGTAGCTCTCGACCCAGATGACGAGGACCTTGGTGTCGGGTCCGACGTGCATGTTGGCGCGGGAGGGCAGCTGTCTCTTCCTGCTCTGGGCGGTGGGGGTGTCCGGGCTGGGTCCCACCGCCCCCGGGGACGGGTCCACACCCGCCAGCTCCAGGGTCAGGTTACGGGAGGGGCCGGCGCCCGTTGCCATGGCGTCACCCTGTGTGCTCGTCCTATCAACAGCCTGTTTGTCTACAAAGATAAATCATTAGATATTTAAGATGCTTTGTCATAATGACTTTTTAAAAGTTCAACATTCTGATCACACAAATACACAAAAGTTTCTCATTTTTTCTAGAGTGAGTGAGTGACTGTCTTGTATATTAAGTCTAATACCTTGTTCATTCATAATTCTGTGTGGCAAGCAACACAAAAAAGCAAAAGCACCCATTCAAAGTAAAAAAAAGTGAAGCCTGTTGATGTGAATTCAAATATACCAAGTTCAAAAGGCTATTTAAGGTTTATTCATCTATTCATGAAATAGACTTGAAAGGTGGTTCAAAAAGCAATAAAGGCCTTGCCAATCTACATCTGGAAACAGTTCACATTGAGTAACAGGATTATCAAGGATTTCAGGGAAATTGACTTTGAGTAACAAGATTTCCAGGGATTTCAAGAAAATTGACTCTGAATGAGCCCGTAAATCATTCTCACCTGGCAGCTGGTCCCTGCAGTTCCCCTGCCTGCTGCCAGAGGGCACTACAAAGGCCACCTCTGAGCTGATGTCCCCGTAATACAAAACTTGCTTGTCCCCGTTGAAAAGGCTGCCTCCGGTCCCGTCAGCAACTGGGGTCGAGTCTGACCAGAAATGGATGGGATGAAATGTAAGACTGAATACTGCTGGCTTTAACCTCTAGAAATTATGTTAGAACATAGATTACAACAAGTTTATGTGTTGAAATTTGAACCTCTCTACTTGACCCATAATGTACTCTGCATAACACTTTGGCAGAATGTTTGGTTAACAATTAAGGATAGCATTCCACCTATAATTTCCAATGGGCTAAATGCTGATGCAACGTTGACCAAACATAGAACGTAAACTGTGAAAATCTGGGTTTCCCACAGGCACGGTACATTTTACCAACATCCTGTCCACTGCTTACCATCAAAGACATCGTCGTCTTGTGCCAGTTTCCAGCTGGTGCTGACGTGTCCGGTCCAGCCGGGATGCCTCCCCACCTCCACCGGCCAGCCCAGCGAGCGCAGGAACTCCAGGAACTGAGGCTGAACATTCTCCGCTGCCTCCTGGGGGGGGAATTGGGCAGATAAATTACATTTCTTCCATGACGAAGAGTGGAACTCATTGCTGCCAAGTGCAGTAGGGGTATCATAACCACACAGCTTTAAACAGTGCTAATTTTCCTCACATGTAGATGCAAGAGGTCAGGTGTAACAGGTCCAGCCTGCAAAGCCGGCATGTTATGCCATAGGGAAGTTACATGTATACCCTCTACAGTGATACACATTACAGATAATCATTGTGTTTTGCATCTTTTCACAAGCACTAATTTTGCCCATGTACAAGCTAGAGAAACTGATTGGTTCAATTCCTTTTCATTCTTTCAATATTCTTCTGTTGCTGAAAATACCCTGGACTACATGAGGTCTTAAGCAATCAAGTTGTTCTTACCCTGTCCTACACTTACCACATTGTTGAGGATGTCTGTTGCTGTCTTCTGCCCACACTTGACGTAGAAAACAAACACTGTGTCGAAGGAGCGGACAGGGATGCTGTCCAGCAGCTCCAGGTCCAGGTGAAAGGTCGTCGCTTTGGAGTCCAGAGCTATCAGGGCTGGCAGAGGGCTGTTGGGGGCACTCTGGAGGGGTAGGGGCGAGGACATTCAGTATTTTACCTTTAACGTGCATCTCAACTCATCATCTCATCTAGCGCTTAGTTTCATTGTCATTGGAGCACCACATTTTCACTGGGGCACCACAGAAGATCTAACTACAAATGTACCAGTTTTCTCCACCCTTTTCTGCTCTTCTTAGTGTGCTTTTAACAGCTAAAGAGCAGTGTCTGTATACTCTTTTTGATCTGAAATTTTGTTTTCATACATCTTGCTATAAGATTTACATTAGGCACACTACATCAGTATATCAAATACGAAAGAATGTCAATAGCATAATGGCATATCCAACTTTTTGCTCCACATCCTTACTTATCTTGCATACAGCAGTGCACATACTGCCAGTCATCAAATTATGACAGTCATCGTCAACCTAATCCAAGCCAAAAAAAAAACAGCATGCCATCCCAATGAAAGTTTTTCATAAGATGACAAGATCACAGAACTATGATTCTAACCTTGAGCCCATCCAGTGACAGGAAGCCCAGCTGGGACAGGAACAGCCGGGATGGGTGGAACTCTTGTACAATTCTGGAGACAAAAATATGGCTCAAAATCATGGTAACAGCTCAAGGCGTCAGGTACAAAGGATAAGTAAAATTTAATGAATGACAACTGTAGCTTTTTCACACTGTCTAAGCCAAGCTAGTACAGCACAATTGTGTTCTCATAGCTACACTAGCCCTGTCCTTGGTGCTGATCTGTGTTCTCATTACTGCTCTTTCCCTGTCCTTGTCTTTTTATACCACATTTTTCTCAATACATGTATCTCAAACAGATCTACCGGGGGGGGGAAACTGCTGTTGGCATCAAGGCACATCTTTTCATTTATTGTTGATGATGACAAGTTAAATATGAAGCATTTGTAACATCCACTAACATAATTCCACCTTGTCAAGGTTAGAATCTACTACCCCATACAAATGCATCTGAGATTTTGAATGAACATATGATGCACTTCTGCATATCTAAATTGTGGGTGCTGCACTAGAGATCTCTCCAACACACTGCCTTTCAAAGTAGCAGATATATGGAACCCATTGGATAAACGTCAATGGAGGTCCGCTGTGTACATGTAGCATAGCATGATTACACTATCCCTGTCCTTGGTGCTGACCAGTGTTCTCATTGCTGCCCCTTCGCTGTCCTTGCTAGCCTAGCATGGTTACCTTGGAGGCTTGCACTCCGTGTCGGAGTTGGGGAACGTTGTGGAGGCGATCCTCTTCTCCGTCAGACCGTTGATGGCGGCCTCGTACTGGACCTGTACGTCCATGAGCCCCCGGAGCTTGTCCAGCTCCTGCTGCAGCTTCTCTCCGGTGATCTGCCCCAGGGTGGGGATACTCAAGTCCCTGGGGTGGGGACAACAGGGGAGGGGGTTGTCATCCCTTTCATGGTGTGGCCACATTCATTGTAGGTCTTCATACATACATACAATAAATATTGCTAAATCAAAATTAATTTTGATGTAGCAATATCTTCAAGCAAGCTCTGGAACCACAAGCTGTGAAAGATCCAACCACTTACAATGATCTAGGGTTACATGTGTACAGTACAAAACAGCTTAATTTTTCAGGACACATGCACTACTATCCCAAATATGCCCTCAGTTTGCAATTGTACGGTGATCACATGACATATGTGACCAGGCTATTATATTAGTAAGTAAATGTGATAGTTTTAGTGAATTTGGTAATGTCACATTATCAAATCTTAGGAGCTACAAATGAAAAGGAATGACCTTAGGATTGACTTGATATTACAATAGCCTATCAGAAATTTACCTGTAGTTATGTGATAGTCCATAAGCACAAAACGCAGACATGCAAAAATGTAATATTCAGCTGACACATTATTCATTTAATCCCTAATAACCATGTACTACTTACGCCTTGGTGGGCGGTACTCTGTCCACCTCCTCTGGGAAGTTCCTGTGGGTGACATCATGGTGGATCCCCACGTCAGACATGGGCACAGGCCGACCGGGGTCATTCAGGGCAGACCGGGAACCCAGCTGCATAGGACAGGGTCAGTGTAAGTACAATATGTACTATTGAAGTGTTGTCATAGATGGAGAGATCCAGTAACGTAAGACACAGCTACCTTAACCTTATCATGACAGTAGACTTGACAAAATGAAACAATTTCAAGATATACATCTTCACTACTAAACCTATCTGTGTGTGGCACTACATAACAATAGTTCATAGGACTTTGATTCAATGGTATATTGATTTAAATTTTACAGCTTATATGGGTTCTAAGGATACTTTTATTCAAAAGACTTGTTCTCACAGAACAAAGAACAGTCTCCCTACCCTGTCCTGGCGTGAGAGTTGCCTGTGCTGCATGGTCCAGGCATGTCTGCCATAGGGAGTCCTGATCAACACTGTTACAGTGGGCATGGGGTCTGCAGGGGAATACAGAACTCACGTTAACAGACTGTCCTGAACTATTGTAGCTTGGTATCTACTAGGACTTCATTCTAGCTTCA